ACAAGGCCGATTTTTAGGGTGTGTCACATGTGGAGTTATACAGGGCCAATTTTTTTTTCCATTAATTTTTATTGCCAAAAGGACCCTAAATTTACTAAAATTATAACACAGGACCCTAAATTTTAGAATGATCAAATATAGACCAAATATTTTGAAATTGTTTTTTTTAACACATGATCTATTTCAACATTGAGCCGCCCCTGAATATAGTTTCATCCCAAGAATTAATGGCACTAATCCTATCCCTTTCCCAGCAAGTATTGTACATAGGATTCGGACACTTTTATTCCCGTAAACTAGCTACATTCCGAAATTCTACTTCCTTACAATTGATGTACGTCCTAATTAGCATGGTGAAAAGGCAACGCCTCTATGGCAACTTCACTTGGCTCTTTTTATGGGATCAGTCACACATCTCCTATTCATAAATAACCTTTTTCATATTTCATTTTATATGTTTTTCCAGCAACCGAGCCAAAACTCTACCAAATTAAAGCTAAGACCAACTGATGCATGGTAAGATGGTATACAAAACATCACCGCAAACTACAAACAGCCATTGGAGATAGTGAGAATTCAAAAGGGATATATATAGTTGTAGCAATTGTTTAACCTCTAAATCACTTGTAGACTTGTAGTTATAGTAAAGAGTTTTTCAAGTCGCACAAGTTTAAAAGTGAGAGAACTTAGAGAAGATAGTAGCGTGTATCTGATGAAACAGACTCAACCAATAAAGGACCAACACGTGGAAGATGATGGATGGTTCTAGCTTATTATTCGGTGGAAGAGGAGGCCACGTGGAGTCAGTTAGGAGAAGCGGGAATGCTTCGCTGTCGATGACGTGGGAAATCACAAAAATGGCCCATTACCTCCCTCGTTACCTCAAACTCATTGTGTGAGCGGTCCTTTCTTGTCTTTTTGTATTTGAGTTCATGTGCTCCTCTTTTTGTGCCCTTGATATTTTCCTTTTTTATAATATATTTGAAAAGAAAATATGAATCTTTCTATTTTTATCAAAGAGTTAAAATAATATACTCCCAATTATTGATGGTTTTCTTGATGGTTTTCGAAAAGTAAATCACCTTTTACTGAAACTACTCTTTTGCACCATTCTAGGAATATTTGTTTTAGCGATACTATTTTCAAAATTAAATCTAGAAAACATACTAATTTAGAGATTCTCCCAAATAATAATAATTCGCATAACAATAGTATATCATCACAAAACATATGTTCATTTTCAACTTTACAAAAAACCAATAGGG